CGTGAACTTTTGCAATTTTTAGAAAATTTAGAGATTTGCACGAAAATGGGATCTACGCTATGATGAAAAAGTATAATAAAAACATTTGGAGCAATTTTTGAGAAAATTTTGAAAGTGTTGAGTGGTGTAAAGTACCTCCGAAATTAAAATAAATCTCCTTCAAATTCCTTGGGCCTCAAGTTCTTCTAGAACGAACGTTGAATATCAATTTTGGAGAAAATCGTCTGAACAATTTAGGTGCTAACATTGACCACAGACAAACGTCTAATGACGTAAATCAACAAAAATAAGAAAATAAGACCAAATTACGTGCAAATGAATGAACACTGTATACTGATGATTAGCAAAAAGACGGCTTAAAAGATCACAAACAAATAATGAAGATTAATGATCGTCATAGCAATGAATCAACGTAATGGCTTATTAATTCAGTGGCGTTACTGTGGGCTACCGGCAGTAGCCCGAAAAAGTTACGAGAACAAAAATATGTGAAGATAAATTATATTAAAAATAATTGTATGCCACATTCTTTTCAGTGACATATTGTTCATTATTCTGTATAATCTGTTCTGTTGATATTTGTATTAAATCGCTCGGTCGTCACCACAACTGTCCTCTAAGAGGCAGCAAGGCCGAAGCATGATTTACTCCCCCCTCCGCCTGGTAAGATATGGGCCAGCCACAAGCTTAGGGTGCCGATTTCCCGAGGGTACCGATTTCTTGACACGCTTGGAGCAGTTCGGTGGCAGTGGGCAGTAAACGGACAGAGTAAATTAGATGTGCGCTTTTATGCAAGACATTCACGTTTGGTGATGAGTATATATTTACATAATATATTGTAGTGTGTTTTAAGTGTTAAAATTGCAACATATTAAGTATGTGATAGTGTCAAAGTTAACTATTGTCAATTTGATAAGATATTTTGAAAAATTTCACAGCAAACTTCGTGAAGTTAATCTGTTGATGATAAGTGTATTATTGTACAGCGTTAATCGTCGTTCGTATAACGAGAAATAATTTCTTAAAAGGCTTACAATTATTGTAAAGAGATTGTGATCCGCGAAATTATATATAGGACTATACACATAAATAATATTGTATAATAAAACTGTTTAAATTCAAAATGTACATAATCGGAAATTATGTAAAGTTATAGTTAAATATTATTCTTAGTCAGCGACAACCCAGGACATGAAAGAAGTATACAGTGAGTGTCAAAAGTATTCGAACAGCTCGAAAATTTCAGAAAGTTAATAAATTTCAGGTGTAAAATAGAGCACAAATTAAAAATTTTAGGTCGCATTGAAAACAGAGTATATTGTATAATTGATATCAGCAAACACAAACATAACATAATTTACTGGAAAATTTAAAACAAAATTTACAAAATTCAGGTTGCGAAAAAAGGTAGCCAAAAGTATTGGAACAGCCACATGATCGTCGGTTAAAAGTTAAATAAAAGTGTAACTGTAAACAAATTAATATTTGGTGAGATATCCTATGGCATTTATAATGGCTTCTACTCGTCTTGGCATTAATTATACGAGCTTTGCCGTCATAAGTGGCAAGATACTGTCCGATTCCTCCTAGAGCGTGCGTTCAAGAAAGCTTTTGCCAGTCCGGTGGCCGAGGTCGCTAAGACAGTAGCGGCGTAGCGATGTCGGGCAGAAGGATCGCGGGTTCGAGTCCAGCCTCGAGTATGGTTGTGTTGTGTTCGTCCTTTCACCCCCTATTGTCATCATCATATCGTGTCATCCTCCCAGTTACCATACCGTTACAAGCTATAGTGGTCGCTATTGACCTAGAAGTTGATGCGACCTTAAATAAAAAAGAAAGTTTTTATATAAAATTGGTCTGTTCCAATTTTTTCTCCAAAATATCTCATAAATATTTAATGGGATTGATGTCTGGAAATTGTGGTGGCGTATACAAAGGATCCACATTCTTTTGTTTTAAGCCTTGAGCTTTGGATCATTGTCCTGCTGAAAAATTAAATTGTCTTTGAGGCCCACTTTTTAGCAATTTTGTGTAATTAATTTTGCACAATGTAAATGTACATAGCATGGTCCGTTTTACCACTTATAAAGTGAAGATTCCCCACGCAAGAAGCACTCATACACCCCCAGCCGAGTACAGAACCCCCTTGTATTTCACTGTGGAGTGGAGGTTCTCTTCATGAAATTCGGAGTTTCTCTCCCTCCGCACCGTACATTTCCTAACTGCGCCCAAAATATTAAATTTACTTTCATCAGTAAAATGTAAATTAATTCCACATTTATTGAGAACTGTTCAATATTTGTTAGTTAATTCTAAACGCTTTTTTTATTAATGTTATTGATCCACAATTTCCTACGCGCCCCACGTCCCTGGTACCCACCGTTCCATAGTATTATGCGAATTATACTTGGAGAAGTGACTATTCTAGAAGCAAGTTTTTCATATAAAATATATGTCGCGAAAAAATTGTTGTGTCACGTTCATTCAGCAAATATGACCGTCCACTCCTTCGTTTGTTTGACACTGTTTCCGAACACAGTACCTATCAATTACATTAATCACTATAGTGTATAAGCTTTACACAATCTTTCCAATTTCTCTCAAAGATCTGAATTCATTATGCAAGCGAATTATAGTTTCTCTCTCTTCACTTATTTTCTTTTCTTTACGCCCCATATTTGACATTTGATGGACAAATATTTCAGAATCATACACTTCTGATGAATACCAGAAAGGAAATTGATACAAAAACCGTTATAGCTAAGGGTTGTCAGGTGAGCCCGTGCGACAAGGTGAAGGTCAATCCACACACGGCTGCGGCCGCAGACTCTTCCAGAAACGCCGTTAAAGTGTTTAAGAGTTGGCGTGTTCCAATACTTTTGGCTTCCTTTTTCTGTGAGAAATTTGCTTATATATGGTTTCTCAATTTTCTGTACTTCATTTTAAGTGTTTTTTAAGGTAGCAACTTTACTACAAAAAGGGGCGGATCCAGAGACATTTTTTTGAGGGGGGAATTTGTATGACTTTATATATATATATATATATATATATATATATATATATATATATATATATATATATGTTTTAGATATTTTCTTTCTCTTCTTAAGTAATATTACCCCGCCTTCTCCAGGCGCATGTAAGCGGTCCATGCCCGTCTTTTGTTTCGGGCACACTGTAATTGCGCGAAATGTCACAGCAACCCACGATCACTCAGTTGGCACCTAGAGAGAGACGTATACTGCGTTTTATGCAACTCTACCCCTGGCAGAAATCAGCGGTTGACGATTTAATCCAATCGGAAGCTTAAAAGTCATCATAGTGACATCACTATGGTGACGTTCAAGCTTCCGATTGGATGAAACTCTCCACAGCTGATACTTGCCAGTGGCAGAGTTGCGGAAATCGCGGTATAATTCGTCAAGACTTTCCGGTTGCGTCGGACACACTTCAATATATGGAAGTCGCCATGGTACCTGTTGTCGCGAAGTAAGAAAGAGAGGTGTGCTGTGAGCCTCTGGAGAACAGTCGAAGACATTTTCCATACGTATCATTCAGCTAAAATACAGCGAGAATCAGGATTCCCATTCTTAACTAATAGGCTAAGAACAGAACTCGGGGTTATTTTAGACGTTTCTACAATTTTTTCTTGTAATTCCAATTTTTTTCTCTAGGCCTTTCTTTGGGAGGGGGCATGGACCCCTCGACCTGCCACTGCGATTTCATCAATAACATATCCAACAAATTGAGTTACATATCTGAATTTTTTTTGATAAAAATTGACGTAATTTTTTATTTTATTTCAGGGTATTTTAAAAACATTTTAAGATTATTTTATTGATCGTTTTGAGGACGTATTAGGTCATCAAAATCCGCTCCCTAGTTATTATATTTCCCAACCCTAAGTGTACGACTGTGCCCGACTGTGAGTCGAGTGTGATCGGTAAATTAAGATATTAAGATAGTTTTTTATTCAATAGGTTTCAGTCGAATGTGTCACATTACATTGCGCCATTCTCCAATTTGTTTTTAAATAGCAAATTGTTTTTGGGGGTTGTTGTCAGACCCAAGACTTGTCACATGGTTCTATATGTTTGTAGACGCGCTGAATCCGAATCCAAAGCCAGAATTGCGCCACTACCCTCCGGTTTCTTTTAAACAAACAAACAAACAAACAAACAAAAACGTGGAATTTACAATCTACAATTTCAGTGGAGGGTGGTCGGTAATTTTGGCTTCAGATACGGATTTAGCGGGTCGACGTACATAGAGAAACATGTGTCATATCTTTGGGTAAAATACACTCGCGCCACTGTACGCCACTGTATTAATTTCGGAATGATGGAGATTGACGGGAGGAGTCTGTTAGTAGCAGGACCTTTCACGATGTGTCACGCACGCCTTGGGACGCCAAAAACAGCGTTTCTTCTGTAGTTAAATTGTATGTTTGAGATATTTTTAAGAACAAGAATTATTGATTTCGTTTTGAAAATCAGGGAAATCTTCCGGAGTCGTTTTTATGTGTGACATAATTTTTGAAAATTACAAATTTTATATTTTTTTTAGATACAAGAATTTTAAGAGTTCGGCATATCCTTATTGATTTCACTTGTTAAGAGTATCATGATAGTCACTCGACACGCACACACACTTTAAGGATTACCATTGTTCGAAATGTGTTCCTGTCAGTTAAGTTTGATAAACTTTGAATAGGGCAGAGCCACAACAGCATCAGGCCGATCGCACCAAAAACAACAAAATATTCCGTTACTTTCGAATGAAACCCAACTCACGAAGTGTGACGTTTGCGGCGGCCACGTGACTGCAAGCGGCTTTCACCTCTTACCTGGCGTCTTCGGGGGCGCGCGAGCAGGAACGGGCGAGCGGAGGTACGTAGTCCAGTGTCGTTGTGGTTAGGATCAACACGTGCCGCGGTGTCCCGCATCCACAATCCACCACTTTACGGTTTCCATGGCGACCTAGTCATTGTTATATACAAGTGCCTTCAATGTGTGTTAATGTTTGTGTGTGAATGTGCGCTAAAAATCCTTACCATGACTGATGGGAATACGATTATCTTAAGAGTGGCCGTGATTATCTCCGTATTTCAACTCTCTACTGGAGTGGACTCAGAAGGTAACAAGTGCTTTTATTTGTGAACGCTCCTTATTCATGTCACCGTCTGGATGTACCTTCCGGAGATCGTGCGAACTACTGGACATAGTTTCAATTATTTTCTAAAAGACTGAAGCTTATACACATAACACTCTTCATAAAAAAACTTATTTTTTATTTATTTCAATTTGAGAATAGCAGAATTATTAAATGTTCTCACGTTTGTTAGACTTAAAAAATAGACGAGATGGGACTCTCGTTAATAACAGGTGTTTAACGAATTCGCTCTATGTTCATGGCATTTTTATCATTTAGTTTTTTGTTTTATTGTAGTATGTTGTGGCACTATAAACTCAAACACAGATATTGCTTTGGAAACGTAGCGCGAACAGTTAAAAAATGCACGTTTTCTGCGAAGGGGAATTTTATGGATTTAAATACGCAATTTAGAGAACTAGAACAATGTTTATTTTCCCATTTGCCGACAGAGACCTTCAATTTCATGTAAGAAATGACAGTGCTTTATATTACATGTTATTACTAGCTAGATATCTACTCATGACCAGCTAGTATTATATTGAATAATATTCATCTTAATTAATAAGGCTTGTTTTCATTTATATGTTGTCTTTCAATGCATATTTATTATATAACTCTGAAAAATGACTCCGAGAATAGGATAAATGTTCTCAAATATTATGTGATAATGTTGATTTAATGAAAAAAAATTATTCACTCTCAATAATGACACTAACACGCGCAGGTGGTGCAGCACTTACTGGGATTTAAAAGGCATGAATTCGTATGAAAAGTTAATTGAGAGTATTAACTCATGAATTTGATACAACAGGAATTCATTTTATTGAAAAGTAACATAATATTTCGAATGAAATTAAAAAAAAACTCAGTACAGAACCAGATGATATGCGTAAAATGGTAGTGATCTGAAACAAAGTCCGATCCATTTCCAACTTCGTTTCTGAACGAACAATTGTAGTTACGTTGTCATTATTAGTCTCGTGACGTGAAAACAGAGGAACCAGTGATAAATAAAATTTCAAAATAAGTGTAAAATTCATTGCATTAAAATACTGAAAGAAATAAAGACACGTTTTACAGGGAGCACATTTCCTTTCACAGCAATAGGTGATGTGATAAAACAACTAAAAAAATATGCCGATGTGTGTAAAGCAGCACGGAGTCCTTCCATGAACCGTTGTCACTAAACAAACTTTTTTTACGAGTGATCATAGATGAGAAGCAAAAATGGATTAGGCAAACTGCTAGCGAATATGATCAGCTACAAGTACCTCTAATTGGAGTCCTCCGACTGCAATGCAACCCTTATGGTAATAAAATAAAATTGGTCATGCAGTATTCAGTGATTCTATGCGCCTGCCGGAAAGAGCCTATTTTAGAAAGTATGAACATCTTTCAAATAGTACTACTATTTCCTTTCCAAAGACACCATACTTTTCGGATGAATTTAGATTCAAACTTTTGATTGTCTTTGAAATAAGACGAAATGTAAAGTCGCTTATTTTTTTTCCAATAATTTAAAAATAAAACAAATATTAAAACTTAATGAATTGTTTGTCTTTTATATTCTTATTTGATGTTCATAAGATCTAAAATTTTACAATGCTACTTGGGATAATTAGTTATTTAACAATTAGTTATTATAATTAGTGTGTTAGAACTATTGAATTTTTAGTACAAATAAAATTAGATATTTTATGTATAGAAGCAAAATTTTAATAGGGGAAGGTGTTGAACTTTAGACATATGTGTACCTTAGACCTGCAATGACTGAGAATTCATCTTATTGGAGTAGTTTGAAAGTACACCGTGTAGTAGTTTGCTAATAGGCTCAAATTAGCTTGGAGTTGATGATAGTTGCAGAGCTTTTCTGGAAAAAAATAAAACTTCTTTACTTTCAACAGAAAGTAAGTATTTTACTTCCTCTTTTATTTCCTCTACAACCATCCCGCTTTTCCATTGTTTAATGATAGTACAGCCATTTAAAGCATTCTCCTAGACACAAACACGCGTGTTTAAAACAAGTTAAAGCCTAAATACATTTGTAATCTAAATTGAACGTAGTCAAAGACAAAAGTACTAAATTATTTATCTATGTGAATACAAGGTTTGTATGTGTGTTATAGCATCAAAACCTACCCGACATATTTTGCTGAAATTTCCAGTTCGTTCTTACTGTTCGGGTTTGGAGACCGGTTCGAATAAAATCAAATAGAAACGGTAATTTTTGGTGTTAATTGAAGATTAAATTTGTACATCTTTGGACTTGTGTAAATGGAGGCGGTTGCTCGGAGGCAGCATTTGGCTGCGTCGCTGACTGGGGGGTCCTAGGGTTCGTGATACTAGGTATAAAGCAAGGGCGAATTCAACCACTGATGGTGATCGGTAGCCTTCCAATCATTATCAGGGGATTGTATTTGAACAAACGTCACAGACTGCGTGCGATATTTTCTTCCTAATCCTTGTCTCCTCCTTCCTTCCTCCCACGTACATATATATATACATACACACACATACGTACATACATACACATTCATACATACCACAGTGCTTGATGTATAAAATTTTAGGTCCCGGAACGCATACCAAATTACTTATTAATTCAATAGAAATAATTATGTACATGTTGTATGATTTAATATTTATTACGGAGGTACCGGAACGCCACACACTGGTTCCAACTGAGCAAAAACCTGGCCATAATTCGGAGCTATGAATAAAAACCAAAATTGTATATATTACGGTTTTGGTTTTGCTCGCTGATTATGAATTTGATGTCAAGATTGAAAAATCCAAAATGATGGATCTAATAGTTAAAAATTAAGTGGATTCGCGCAAAACTGTGTATTTAATGATTTTTAGAGTTGCTGATAACGAATTTGATGTCAAAATTGAAAAATTCAAAATCATAGATCCGATATGGTGTATTGAATATCTGAAAATAAAGTCGTTTCGTCTGAAAGTATGTAGTAAAGTTTTAGGTGCACACATTTCATCCAAACATTGAGCTTAAATGGTAATTGTCGCCTACACATCTTTGAACAAATTAAATTATTTAAATGGTAGTGTTTATTTATTGAACATAATGATTTTTAAAAATTTTCAAAGGATGGAGAAAATTCAGAACCTCCGGTGGCAACAGTTTGCCGTTCACTGTTTTGTATTGTCTTGTAAACTTGAAATCACTCGATCTGAAGATACCAGAAAACAATAAAAGAAATGTTGCATGGTTTTCAAATTATTCTGGAAAAAATCCACGATAACGTCTGATACCCAATTTCCTGATGCACAATTTCTGGCTCCCTATTCATTCTTCGATAATTGACCAATTGCCAACGGAGAAGTTTCAATTATTGTGTACCCATGAAGCACATCAACCGATGTTGGCCTAATGTACCACGGATACAGTTCTACGTATCGTTTTGAATTCTCCAAACAGTACAATTTAAAATTTTTGAACATCGACGCACAGCCCACTTGACATAGCTTTCAACAATACTTCGCCTTTTTCAATTATCTATTCATCCGCTCCTAAAATGCTTGCTGTTGTCGGCACATTGTCAAAAAATCGCCTCGCGGTATTTCCGTCGTGGCTGTTACCGGACTCGGGATTAGGTATGTCAATTCGCTCATTTACGTTTGAAATAATCTTGAATTTTCGTTTTCTCTGACGCACAATGATCTGCGGAATGATCTTGCCACTTTTTCTAGGTGTTATCATCACTGCATTTGTAGCGTGGGTATAGAAATCACTCTATAAATATACCTAAAGAAAGGTTATTGACGTTGGTTTCTTTATTAACAATTGCTTCAATGGTATTAAAATCTTTTGACTTAGACTTGCAGATGTATCAACGCATAGAGGATACAGTATCGGTTATGACATTTGTTTACTTTCCCGTTAATCATCCTAAATATCAACTCGCATATTATTTGTATGTTTTTATCGCCAACAAATTTGAAAGGTACAAGAGTTGATCTTCGATATGTTGCTATTCTTATTCAGTAGCTTCAGAATTGTGTGGGCGGCCGGGCGGCGCGGGCCGTGGCTGTCAAAAAAATTTGTTCGTGTTAGATCCCACACAATTTGTCAATCGCTCAAAAAAAGGCTCGTGTCGATTGGTCAAAAGAAATGCTCAAA